GTCCACATCAGGACAGGTCTCCCTGGACTCGAGCGCTGGCCAGGAGCTGGCCTCTCCGACTTTCTGACCAGGAGTGAGGAGGCCTCGAGGTTCCAGGACCCCTGGGTCAATGCCCACCCCCAGCTCTGTGACTCACGAATTTGCATCCGGGCAACAACACACACACACACCCACCCCACTCATACACCCGGGCAACTACACATGTGCACTCATGCCCACATGCATGCACTGCACAGCCGCTGGGCTGGTTTGTGGTCTTCTGTGCGCCCCAGCCTCATAGGTGTCCTGCCTCGGGTCCTCCCCAATGAAACCAACTGAGACTGCTTCTCCCGTGATCCCTACTGCAGGGATGCAACACTGCAGGCAGCTACCATGTTGCAGGCTGTGCCCCAGGTGTGCAAGTGGCTGTCTCCTGATTCTGAGGGCTCCAGCTAGGACAGTAATGACAGCAGGGCGGGGCTGGTGGCTCTGCGTGCCCTGCGGAAGTCATCTTGCCATCCGTATTGCCCAAGAATCCGTGCCCTGCACGTTCCTGCCTGCACTCCCATGGTGGCACGTGCATGCCTCTGGCTGAACGGTCCTCCTGTCTTCTGAGGCTTGCCCACTTTCCCTCTGCCCTGGACGTCCGACCTGAGCCCTGACAGCCACACCTGTGTGTGTGATGAGCGGGTCACGTCTCGTTTGCTCAGGGAGAGTGTTCGCCTGACGCTTCAGGGCCCAGGCTGAGGCTCGGTGCTGCCTCTGCAATGAGAGGAGCCCTGCACTCTGTTCCCGGCCAGCTCCAGCAAGTCACCCAACAGATACGGCCCAACCAGCGATCAGTGTGGCAGGCACAGTGGCGCCCAGCCAGAATCCGTCACCCAGACCCGGGAGGCTGAGGCAGGAGGATCACCATGAGTTTGAAGCCAGCCAGAACTACTCAGCAAGACCTTATCTCAGGGCCGGGGAGATGGCTCAGTAGAATAAGCACTTCCCTGGCAAGTGCAAGGGTCTGAGTTCAATCCCTGGTTCCGCCAAGAAAAAAAAAAAAGATAGCTCAGGGAACTAAAGCACCTGCTTAGTCAGGCGCAGCAACTAGGGTTCGATCCCTGATGTGCTGTGCGGGGCACGCTGAGATTGGCGACTGAGACTGGATGTGGGGACGCATGCCTATAATCCCAGCTCTTGGGAGGCTGAAAACAGGAGGCACACTGTGAGTCTGATTTGTGTAGTGAGACCCTGTAGACCCTATACTAAATGCATTTTAAAAAAGGAAATTTAAAAAGTTTTATCCGTTCTAATTTTTACATTAAACATTGCATATTTATTTGATCAATAAAAGTTTAAAAATGAAAAAAAAAACAACCAGACCTTATCTCAAAAAACCAAAATAAAGGAGGCCTTGAGCTGTGTGTTGCCAGAGAATGATTTTTTTTCTTTCAGGGACTGCATTTGTGCACTGTGGCTGTCTATCACGATGGGAGAAAGTGCTTGCTTCACAGGAAGTACTAAATAGAACTCCAGGCTGGGGAGTAGCTTAGTAGTATAGCACCTGCCTAGTGTGCATACTGAGTTCAATTCCCAGACCACAAAAAAATAAGAACAAAGAACTCCTCTGAGCCAACAAGTGAATTACATTAGGTAGCATTTATTGAGCATTTACTGTATGTCAGACCCCACTTTAAACCCCAGAAGAATTAGTTTGTTTTGGCCAGGGAGGTAACTCAGTAGAATAAGCACTTGCCTGGCAAGTGCAAGGACCGGAGTTCAATCCCTGGTTCTACCAAAAATATAAAAGATAAAAATAAAAATAAAGAATTAGTTTGTTTCAACCTTAGCATCCCGGAAAAGTGAGTCTCCTCACTGCCTCTCTCTCACAGGAGGTGCAAGGGCTTAGAACTGTGCACCAGGCAGCAGCTGTGGGCAGCTGAGCAGGGCCTGGGGGCCTGCAGCCCATGGGTCCCAAGGATGAGTGGCCCGGGGTGTGCAGCAGGGGCTGGGTGGGGACACTCCTTGGGTCTGGTAGGATCTTGCTTTCTTTTTTGTTTTGCTGAGATTAAATAAATGCAGGGCCTCCTGTGCACCAGGCCCTGCCCAGAGCCACACCAGCCGGGCTGTGCAGTGGTCCAGGCCAGAGAATCCCAAGCTTCCCCTCTCTGCCGTCTACTTCCAGCCCTGGGTCACAGCTGTCCCAGCGAGTAGGCAGAGGAAAGTGCAGGGGATTAACTCACACCCACTGCCACTGTTAGCATTGGCCAGGGTCCTTTGCTTTCTACCATGGATCCTGTTGTCCTCGCCACCCTTGATGCCAGGCCCGTCTTATGTCCCATTCCACAGGAGACAGATATGAATGAGCTCCCCAGGAGGATAGGGCTTCCTGGGGGCCCTAACTGGCCTTGGCTGGTGGTTAGCGGGGTTAGAGTGGGGCTGTTTCCATTGGCACTGCTGCGGTGCCCTGAGGCTCCTCACCCTTGCCCTGGCTGAGGGGAGCGGGGAGGCCACTGCCCAGTGCGCTTCCCCCATCCTCTTCCTCCTGCCCCTCCAGACTGAAGTGACAACCAGCCATTCCAGCAGGACTGGACAGCTGACTCAAGGCCAGGCTGAGAGCCTACAGCCTTTGAGGGCTTTGCTTCAAACAGAGCCAGGCCAGTTCCTCCTGGGGCCCTATTGGGAAGGAGGAGGAGCCATTTTGGGCCACCATGCCCCATCTTCGTTTGTCCTCTTGTCATTTTGCCACAGCTCTTCCAGGTCCCAGATTATGAGGAGACTGAGGGGCAGGGGCAGAGCAGGAAAGCCGTTGTTGACAGACCCCACCCTCAAAGCCCAGGAAAGGTGGTGGACTTGCCCTGCTCAGCCAGGAGAGTGACATTTCTGTCCTAATTAGAGAACAGAGGGAGGAAAAACCCACTGCCACTCCTCAAGGCACTCTAGGCTGGCACCCAGAGCTGGGGACAGCTGGCAGCACAGAAAACAGCCGTGACAACAGGTGAGCAGCCCGGGGGACAGGGACAGCCTTCCATCCAGGCGTTTCCCAGGAATTCACCCAGTGCTGGGAGAGGTCGATGCCTTCTGGAACTCATGCGTCTGTGTGAAGCCCAAGGCCAGGCTGCAGTCCCTCTATCCAGCGTGCTGGGTTCCCCCAGTGTCGCCACAGGCCAATCCTTCTGTTCCCAACCATCTTCTGTAGCAAAGTTGGGAGACGGATAGGAAACGTAGCAGACGGCTGGAAGGAGCTAGGGTGGGAGATTGGTGGGGAGAGGGGGCAGGTGGAATGTCCAGCAGCCTCTTACACTCACACAAGGTCATCCACATGAAGCCAGACATAGTGGTACCCACCTGTAATCTCAGTATTCGGGAGGCTGAGGCAAGGGGATCTCTGTGAGTTCAAGGCCTGCCTGGACTACATGGTGAGCCCTTGTCTCAAAAACTAAAGTGTGCTCACACAGTCTGGCTATTTTTTCCAGCAGGAGGCCAACACATTTTTTTTTTTTTTTTTTTTAAGATTCTTGGTGAGGCACTGTCCCCAGGCCCCCGCCTTGTTGTGGGAGTGGGGAGGGGAGCCCAGAGTCTCATGCATAGGAGGCAACTGCTCCACTGCCAACCAACACCTAGGTCCCAGAGTCTGAGATCCATTTAGGGTGATTAGGTAGATGAAGGACAGCAGTCACAGGCAGCAGCAAGAGGCACAGTGCCCACTCCTGTAATCCCAGCACTAAGGCAGGCTGAGGCAGGAGGATCCTAAACTCCCTCTGGGCAAGGGATCAGTTTAACAAGACCCTGATTCAAGTCTCAACAACAAATAAGAGCTGAGGATTCCATTCAGTGCAGAGACCCTGGGTTCAATACCCAGCACCAGGAAAGAAAAACGTGGGGCCACAACTCTCTGAAATGGAAGGAACAGGGACCTGGGTCCCACCTGTGCTCCCCCAGCACCCAGAACAGCGCCCTCCCGGAGTCCAGACAGGTCCAGAAAGACCCCCTCTCCTGGAACAGACTCCCTCTCCTGGGACGCAGTTTCGCCTGGGAGAACATCGCGTGTTCTGTGACGCTGCACCAAGGGGCCTCTCGAGAGGCGGGGCCTCTTAGGGGAGGGGAGGGGAGGGGTCTTTGGGGCAGTGAGCTGAGTCTGGGCAGGCAGGGGGGCTCAGGAGGGGCGACTGAGCAGGAAGCAGGGATCGCGGGGCTTGGAGAACCAGCAATGTTCAGGCTTCCCACGGGCGCCGCCCGCCTGGGGCTGGGAGAAGGGACCCTCCCAGTCCCGCGCTCTGCACAGCTCTCAGCCAGCAAGGCCTAATGCCTGCACGTGCGCCCCTGCAGCCCGGCCTGGAGGTTGGTTCTTGCGGTTTCTTTTCTTCTGAGCGCCGAAACCGAGGTGCTCCAAGAATGAACACCTCTCTCTTGAGACAAGCTGAACTGCCCAGGTGGGACCCAAACTTGCCACGGTGCTGGGATTGCAGGCACACGCGGCCCGGGCCTGACAAACCCTCATCTTTAACCGGGTTTTCAGGGTGGTCAGGTCAGGGACTCCTAGTCCAGTTATCTCCACACTAGTGAAAAGCTACCCTTCTCCGGGAGTTGTTCCCGAAGGAGGGGAAAGTGGGGTACGGGTGGAGCCCCACTACTCTCTGCTGGGAAACTGGCCCCTAGCAGCTGCCCTACGAGAAGGGGAAACTAAGCGCAAGATGTGCACCTTTCAAAATATCAGGGGCCCGTTGCAGTTCGGGGGCAGAGCACTTGCCTGGCATGTGTGGGGACTGAGTTCAGCAGCAGCACCCGGGAAGATGCTGTTTTAGCCCCATCCTCTAGGGGTCCCCTGGGCTGGGGGGGACCCGGTTTACCAAGGTGCCTCCACCCACCCATCTACAGGAACTGAGGGGGTGTCCACAGCCTGCATCTCACCAGAGACGACACTGGGGGGCTCAGAGGTGGGGGACCCGCAGCCCTTTCTCCATCAGGCTCTCGTCATGAGAGGCGCTCTGTTTGTGCTTAGTAACTTAACTTTCCTTGTAGCACCATGGGTCCTTTAGACAGCGGAGCTCCAGAGGTGACAGTGGCAGTCCCCTGCCGACCGCCAAGAAAACCTAGGGAGACGCCATACACTCGTCCTCGGCCGGTGCGCAGGGTCCAGGGCTTCGCTGGAATCCTGAGCTCGCTGTACGCCACCACCTGACTTCAATTAGCAAGGCCCGGCTCCCCTCCCCCAGCGCCAGCCACACGCCGTCCCAGGGGGTCCCAGGCACTTTCTCCCGTCCCAGGTCAGACAACAAAGGAGGACTAGGAACCCTTTCCTGTCGCTTTTTAGCGAAAATAGCAAGACTTTGGGCCAGAAGCCCGCTTCGCCCCGCCCCCACCCCACAGAGGAGGTGGGGAGGTGGTGCGGTTTGCTAAAGCTCATAAAAAGTTACAACCCTGTTAAATGCAATTAAAGCGTTAGATCTTTGGAAGATAATTAAATGCATTTTATTATTATGATTATTACCTTCTAATTTGCACGATTATCAAGAAACAGGAGGTGGGGTAAACTGAGCTAACTGGCATGGCTATCTTCAGACCAAACCTTGGGAATCAAACTTGTACAGCATTCCACGGCGCTGTTTGTGCGTTGGAAGCCAGAAGACACTGTATACACAGCTCCGCAGGCGGCGCGGAGGGAAAGTCTTGGTTTTATGGGGGGGGGAGGGGACGATAAGAAACATCTGTTCCACATCCCACTGCCGCGTCCCGCGGCCCCCGGCTCCGGGCCTCCTCCCAGAGAAGCTACCCTCCTCTTTTTCCCTTCTTGTTTCTTCGGGACATGTTTTTAAAGAAACCAGTCTTTTGTCAACACGAACTAAAAATCCCACCACCCCATCAGTACCTCCCTCCACCCCAAACCATTTTTATTGCTGTTTTGGGATAGAAACAGAGAAAAGCCCCAAACAACAATAAAAATCCACTTATAACACAAAAACCAACCCCGAAACTGCTACCCTCAGCCGAAAGAGGAGTTTCTGTTCGCAGGGTGAAGAGCAGACTGCAGGGAAACGGGGGAGCGATGCAGGGTCTCAAAACTCCAGAATTTCCACTAAGTTAGAGGGCTAAGTGTGCCCTAAGAATCCAGGCAGAGGAGAAGACCAGAACCGAAGTAAGGTGCGGGAGCTGAGGGGACAGCGGCAGGCCTTCAGGCCGTAATGAGGGCTGGGGGCCGGGCGCCAGTCCGCTATCCGTTTGCTTTATGCTTTTCTTTCCCTGGGGAGGAGGTCTCCAAGTACCGCACGAAGGGCACCGCGCAAAAAAGGCAGGGAAGCGTAGAAAGAAACAAGACCAAAGCAGGTCTGGATCCAAAAGATGCTGCGGCTCCGCAGGCTCCATGCAGGCACAGGCGGCAGGGCCAGCTCCTGGCTCCCAGGTCCCCCAAGCTCCCCAGGGTATCCCCAGATCCCAGCCTGGCGGGCTCCTCGGTCACCACCCTATCTTCAGGCGGGGAGCGCTCCTGTTTTTTTCTTTTTTGTTTTAAATAGAAAATATATAATTACATTTGCAAAGACTATTTACAGTTCTAATTACAAACCTCGAGGGGGCGAGGCAGGCTCCGTCGGAGCCCCGCGTTCTCACACCGTGGTCTCCCCGCGTCGACCCCGCGCCAGGCGAGCATAGAATTTGCGCCACGAGTGCAGCGTCTTGCCGGACCAGATCCAGAAGCCCGACGTGATGCCCACGATGAGCGTCATGAGGTACTTGATCATGTAGACCGTGAAGTCAGGCGCGGCGCGCGGGGCGTGGGGCGCGGGGCACGGGATGGCCAGGCTGCGACAGTGCTGGCTTACCCAGGAGCGCTCCCAGCGCTCGCGGAAGGCTTGCTCATAGAAGTAGCAGGCCAGGACGATGGTGGCCGGCACCGTGTAGAGCACGCTGAAGACGCCGATGCGCACCATGAGGCGCTCCAACTTCTCCGTCTTCGTGCCGTCGTGCTTCATGACGGTGCGGATGCGGAAGAGCGACACGAAGCCGGCCAGTAGGAAGGACGTGCCCACGAACAGGTACACGAAGAGAGGCGCCAGCACGAAGCCGCGCAGCGGGTCCAGGCTGTGCAGCCCCACGAAGCACACGCCGCTCAGCAGGTCGCCGTCTACCTGGCCCAGCGCCAGGATGGCTACGGTCTTCACGGCGGGCACTGCCCAGGCCGCCAGGTGGAAGTACTGCGAGTTGGCCTCGATGGCCTCATGGCCCCACTTCATGCCGGCGGCCAGGAACCAGGTGAGCGACAGGATGACCCACCAGATAGAACTGGCCATGCTGAAGAAGTAGAGCACCATGAAGAGCAGCGTGCAGCCCTCCTTCTTGGTGCCCTGCACCACGGTGCGATAGCCGTCGTCCGAGAAGCGCTCGTTGCACACAGCGCGCTCCTGCAGCACGAAGCCGGCGATGTAGGCCACGGACACCATGGTGTAGCAGCCGGACAGGAACACGATGGGGCGCTCGGGGTAGCGAAAGCGCTGCATGTCCACTAGGTAGGTGGTGACGGTGAAGAAGGTGGAGGCGCAGCACAGCACGGACCACGTGAGGATCCAGAGGCGCGCGAACCGAGTCTCCTCCTGCGAGAAGAAGAGCGCGCCGTCGGGGCGTGCGGGCTCACACGGCGCGGCGCAGTCGCGCTCGCCCAGGAAGCGGTAGCTCAGGTAGGCGGGCACGCGCAGCACGCGTGGGCAGCGGAACGGGGACGCGGGCTGCGCGGCGGGACGCAGGCGCGGCGCCTGCGAGGCAGGCGCGGTGCCCGGCGCGGGCCCGGGTGGCGCGGTGCCCGGAGCGCCGTCTTCCGAGCGGTTCTGGCCTACGCACAGTTGCTCGGCGCCGTGGCGTGGGAACAGCTCGCAGCGCAGGCGCTCGGGCCACTGGAAGCCGAACTTGTTCATGAGCGCCTCGCAACCCTGGCGCGCGCGCTCGCAGATGGCGCGGCACGGCGGGATGGCCTGCTCTAGCACTGTGCACACGGGCGCGTACATGGCGCACAGGAAAAAGCGCAGCTCGGGCGAACACTGCACCTTCACCAGAGGGTAGAACTGGTGCACCTCGAGCCCCGCGTCCTCCTGGCTCGTGTGGCCCAGCAGGTTGGGCAGGATGGTCTGGTTGTAGGCGATGTCGGTGCACAACGGGATGGAGATGGGCTGGCAGAAGCCGTGCTCGGGCACCGACAAGCCCCGCTCGGCGCGCGCGCGCAACAGCAGCAGCGGCGGGAGCAGAAGCGCCATCAGCAGGCGCGGCGGGCTGCGGCGGGGCCGCATGCTGCCCCGGAGCGCCGGTCTCGGCCCGACCCGGTCGGATCCGGCCCGGCCCCGACCCCGGCCCGCGCGAACTCGGCCCACCCTCTCCGAGTCGGGGCTCTGCTCCTCCCGCTTCTCCGGCTCCTGCTCCTCTCTAGGACGCCTTTGTGCCTCCTGCAGCCTCACCTCTGCCACTCGGATCCCAATTAGTCGGTTTCAAGGAGGCCCCCGCTGGCGGCCCCGCCCACTCCCCGGTCGACCCCCCAAAAAGGGAGCCTTGAAACCGCCCCGTCGGGCACTCAGCGCCGGCCCAGAATGTGCACCGGACCAATCAGATTCAAACTTGGGCCCCGCCCCGGGTCCTGATTGGTTATTGTCCGTAATGAGCCCTGAAACTCGACGCCTAGGACCGCCCAGTCCCCCTGGGCTTTTAAAGGAACAGACTGGGGGGGGTAGTGGAGTGGGGGCGCCGCTAGGGTCCCGGAGACTCTGTCCTAGTTCCAGAACCCTGGTCCCCAATCTTCTGGGAAGACGCCGCCCTGCCCCCGTTGCTCCAGACGCCCCCCTTCTTGTTCGAGGTTGCAAATCAAGTAAAAAACTTGGAGTTAAAACTTTTTTATTAAAAAAAAAAAAGTAACTAGTAACAGGCTTTTTTATATGCCCCTCCTGGTGAAGCTCAGGCCGACAGGTCGCCTCACCCCACACTCAGACCTTGGGGTCCGCTTCACACCTCCCCCCACTCGAACCCTTCCAAGACCCTCTGAAAAATGGGAGCCTGTATCTTTAAGAGGCTCTTAAAGGGTCCGGGAGTCTGGCGTAATTGCCCCGCAGCGAGCACAAAGGAGCCCATTATGGTCCTTTGTGGCGGTGGCACCTCGGAGTGACAAACTAGGGAACTCGGACTGGGGGCGGGGGCGGGGAGGCCTCCCCCTCCCAGTCTTCCGGATTTAAAGCGAAGTTGGGGGGATCGTGATCGGAAGCTAATGGAGGTTGGCTAGGTAGTAGTGACCCCAGCAGAGAGGCGGCTCAGGCCTGGAGAGTGGGGCTTTGCCGTCCCTGCCCCCTCCGCCTCCCGAAAGGAGCTCCTGAGCCTGGGTCCCCTAAAAGCGCTGAGGGAGCGGCTGTTGGCTGGGAAATGCCCCCAAGTTCTCGCGTGTAACTCCCCCGGAGCCGTGACGCAGTAATGCTCTGGGCTCCAGGGCACGGGGGTGCAAAGCAAGAGAGCTGCCCTTGGCAGCCCGGAGAGCCGCTTCCTGCTCGGACCGAAGAGAGGGAGGCTTTTTAATACAAGAAGTTTAAAAGAAAGACGCAAGGGCTGGGGACAAGGAAAGAAAAGTCTGTACAGAGATGGATAGAAGAGGCTGCTTTTGACAGGGTTCACAAGATGTTTTTCTTGATTGAGTGAAGGATACGAAGGTTTTCTGATTCTTCACAACCTGAAAGCAGCCCTTTCAAATCCTGGGAAAGGTTCCTTCTCCCCTCCGGCGGACGGTTTCTTTCAGGATCGAGTCCATAGGCACAGGCGACTTGCCTGCGCATCCCTGCTCCAGAGCAGTGTGAGGCACCCTTGTGCTTCGGCTCCTTGCTGGCCTGGAGGCCTGGCGGCGTCCCTCCCCAGGGAGCCAGGCCAGGTGGGGAGGTGGCTCTGCAGAGCTCTGCGCTGTCCACTGGGGCCTCAGGCCACCTCCCAGCAAACACAGCATCTTAAGTTTCCTTCCGTGACAGCCAGTGACAGCTGTCCCTTCCCTGGTCACCCTGAGGCAGAGGGAAGCTGGGGCTAGAGGAGGGCAGTGTCCGGACTCTGTGTCACTTCATGTGGCTCTTTTATTCAGCACACTCCCTTCTTTGATAACTTTGGGGGTTTGACCCGGGTTTTGATGCTAGGCAGTGAAGCCCAAAGTCCCCCATGCTGAGCAGGAGCCACGTACCAGCCTGGAGCCCACGCCCCTTCTGCAGAGCCCAGAGCAGGCACAGCAGGCTTGGTGGCACAGGCTCTCATCCCAGTGTGCAGGGAGGCTGAGGCAGGAGGATCACAAGCTTGAGCCCAACCTGGGCAGTGTAGTCATTTAGGAGACCCTGTCTCAAAAACTAGAAAAGGGCTGGAGACATGGCTCTGTGGTAGACTGTGATCTGTCCTATGGGAGGTCCTGGTTCCACACCTGCTCCTGCCAAAAATAAGAAGAGGGAGAGGGGGAGAGGGGAGGGGGAGGGG